GTATATCTATATATCTATGCTGTACTACAACATAACGTATTAATACAGAGAGTTTTATTTTAACAAAACAATAAATAATATAGAACAGCAACTTTTTATTAGTATATCACTTTAATTCCAGGTATATTGAAATTTACTTATTAACACTGCCTTGGTCTTTTATAAACATATGTTTCTTTATTTTCCAAACACTCACAAAAATAGTTTTCATTGTTGTACTGTTAAAAGCTGACCTGTGTTAAATCATCCCTAGATAAACCATTGGAGGCAAGTCACAAAGTAATACCCACCCTTTCACATTTTAATAGATATTGAATTCGGTTTAAGCCTGTCCTAAATTTTTATGTACACTTAATAAGGAGGCTTTACACAGAATGCAATAGAAATGATGAAGATCCAAGTCAAAATGTTGGGGACGGGTAGGCGCGCACGCGTGCACACGCCTCTGTCAAGGAAAGACGGAAAGCAAAGCCTTACGGTAAAGCAGCAGGTGAAGCAGTAGTTTTTCATTGCGTGTTCAGAGAATGTTTAGCTTATTCGCAGGCCACACACCTCACTGCACACAGCTCCAGGTATCTGGTCTTCACTCAGGGAAATATAGCTCAAAAGTCAAGCCTTGGAATTCATCAAGTTGGCCTCTAATATTAAAGGTGTGGCAAATCACTAACAATAAGGCTATGTAAATATTACACATAATATATATGAGTCGGAGAAATTCCGAGTCATTATTTTAAGATTTCTTTATGCCACTGTTTCATTATAAAACCAAAATAAATGTAAAATAATTCTAATTATTTTATTCTCTGCATGATGTATAAAGAGATAAAAAATCAGCATCAACTAGGCAAGTAACTGTCTACTGAATACAGGCTGAGTATAAAAATTCTATAAACAGAATTATTTCCATCACATTTAATACTTTTTCTGAGATAATATGAATGTGGAGAAAAAATAATCGAGGGATTTAGAATATGTTCTCTAATACTATTTGCAAGTCTAAGCCTCTATTTTTCCACAGCTGCCTGAATGCATTTTAAATGTATACGAAATATTTGGGATTATACATATTTCAAGGCCATGAATATGTTCATGTTGTTTCACTTTGATTTGGGGTATTCTTGAAGGGAGCACGGAAAGAGTTACTCAGATTTACGTGACCAAAGCGTGAGGTCCCTGGGTGCTGGTCTCGAGGAGGACTGGCTGCCCTCCCTGAGCCCAGAAACACCTCAATCTGGAGTAAGGGGTACAAGGACTCTGCCGGACTCCCAGCAGAAGTCAGAGCAGAATCCAAGACCCATAGGCCTTTCTGGGGTGCGGCCACTGTTGTGCAGCGAGCTGTCTAAGCTGGCAAGGAAGAAGCAGACATTGGGAATTTTGGAACTGCACGCAGGGAGTCTGCCCAGCAGGACCCGACCGACTCCCCCAGTTGTCTCCGGCTGGTGATGTGTTGCTTCTCTCTGTCATGTTTTCTGTTTACCGCTCCTATTGCTTATCCTTGTAATAAAGCTATCTTTGCGTTCACTTCCACGTGGCGTGGTGTGACGGTCGCGGGCCTCACGCTACCTCCACGGTGTCCCCGAGTAGCTTGGTGCTGACTCTCGCTACAACAACGCTGTAGGATTTCCTGTGGTTGATCTACCAGGAAGATTCACAGAATGGCCTTCACTTAATGAAATCACCATGGGCCAGAATCTGTTATCCGGCCTCAGCATGTGCCCAGGGTGCCCCATCTACCTCTGAACTCAGGTTCCCGTAAGCCGAATTCATGGTGCCAGGTACGTGAGGAACAAAATTAAAATGATAAACAGGTATGGTTATAATTACAATCCGTATTCTAATTACTGAATTAAACATGCATCACGAATTCCAACCTGTAAATGAGAATACTAGTACTCCTGTATGTGCCTTCACTGAGAACTTGAAAAAAATTTTATTTAAGTTTTTATTTACCTTCTTTATGGAGAGTTGACACATATACGTGACACATCTTATTTCTTTTCTAACCCCTTCCTTTTCCCGCTCCCTTTATCTCTTAATCTCCTTCCCGTATGAGAAAGACCCTTATCCCTACTTTTTATCATCTATCTTTAATTTTGTTC